TTTTTTTTTTTTTTTTTTTTTTTTTTTTTGGTATCGGGAATTGAACTCTGAACTTTGAGCTTGCAAGGCAGGCAGTGGAACCACTGAGCTAAACCCCCAGCCCTCAAAAACACTGTTTTTGAGTTCTGCACTTTAGTGTAGAATGCACAGTGACAGATTTAAGGTTGCATTGCTTGATTTTTCAAATTTTTTGAGAGGCTTTTTCTAGCTCTGCAGACAAGGAATTAAAAACAACAAAACAGAATTTTGTTATTTTTATTTTCATTTCCTTTTTAGCAACAGAATTCAATGTCTAGTGATACACTGGTCCTGCTAACTCCCTTTGTCCAGATAATCTGTATAACATGGACTAATTCACTATCACTTGAAATAAATGCTTAAACTTTAAAGCATTAAAAAACAAAACAAAAAAATGTAGCCAGGTGTGCGGGTGCAAGGCTGTGATCCCAGCACTTGGGAAGCTGAGGCAGAAGTATTGCCACGAGTTTGAGGCCAGCCTGCACTACATAGTAAGATCCTCTCAAAACAAAGCAAGCCAAAAAACAAGCAGTTTAAGGCCCCACATCCAAAATCATAATTTAGGAAACATAAAAAGCAAACAAAAATAAAGCAAATGATCAACACAGGAAGAAACGACTTTACTGCACTGTGATATGTAGAAGCTCTTCCCACTGCAAATGGAGTTCTTGGCGGGGGCTTGCATTGGAGAAGAGACAGCTGGGTGCATGCACTGCCAAACGCCGTGCTGTTAGCATGGTTGAATGCCCTTCTCTTCCTGCTACCCACAAAGAACCCTGTCTTCCCTGCCTCCCTCTTCTTCCAGCTTGACTCATTTTTCTTTTGTCAATTTTCAGTGGCACTCTGTCCTCAATTTTTCTCCTGTTTTGCCAGAAAACATAGTGTCGCTGATTCTTTTAGACTTCCTCTATTTCTGCAATTCCTCCTCACCTCAAATGGGTTCTAAAGTCTCCCAAGTCCTTCCATCTCTAGAACTTAGTGTTCCTTTCCATCTATAATTCTGATTATGTTTGGCTAGCATCAGCTTTCACCTCCACTAGCTTTTTGAACTCTTAAGTGATCAGCTCAGCCAAAAACCACAGAAAAGGGGAGTGCAAGCTGCTTGAATGTATGTATACATGTGTATCCTGTTGTGAGCCTGCATATGTATATATACATACTTGTTTGTTTACATCTCTACCTGTGTATTTTATGGACCATTTCTGGCCATATAATGCCTCTTTTTAAAAATCCTATTTAGCAATAAATACAATACCTTCTGTTGGGCCAACCAAAATAACATAGATTCAGTATGTGAGAGAACTGCCACTGATAACCCAGAGTTTAAAATGAATTCAATTCATAAAAAGAAATAAAAAATAGAAGGAGTCCCTATACATCTAGGTTATTCATTTCCTCTCCTAAGTAGGAAAGGCCATGTCAGACCTCAGCTTGACCAGCAGGTAGCAGCAGAGGCCTGTGAGAAACATAGCCTTCTCTTGTCTATGTACAGCTTCCCATGCATGCCATCCCCAGTACCACTATGAACAGGACAAGGGAAAAGATGCCATATCTGTTGTGCATATAACTCTAACAGGGTCATAAATTTATTTTTTTGTTTTCATAGGAAATCAGGAAAATGACAAATCCTCCAGCAACCAAGTAGTCCTTTAAGTATTTGAAAAACACTCTTAACAGATTTGTTGGGCCAGGGATTTAGCTCATTGGCACCCTGCCTGCTTTGCAAGCACAGGGTCCTGAGTTTGATCCCTGGTACTGGGAATGGGGAGAAAAAAAAAAAACAGATTTGTTGTTTGTCTTGCCCAGCCACATGAACAGTAAATCTTTAAAACACTTAGACATTGATCTAGTCTGTATAACTTACACCCATTGTTTATCAAGAGATTATGTCAGGGGGGGCCAATAAGCAATACATTTACATATAACACTTTGTATTTACTTCAGTTTAATGTGTTTTTCTAGGAATATACTAAATTCATTTGCATGGTAATTTGTATGGCCAGTGGTGTGTGTGGTAGGAGAGGAAGCCAGTTAGGAACATGTGGAAAAAAAACCCTCTATTTCATGTAACCCAATATGAGGCAATATAAGATCACAGGGTTAAGTTGACTTCTCTTTAGGATCGGTGTTAGAAAGCATGTTCTTGCTGAACTGTCCACGAGTGGCCTATTCACTGCTTATGCTGAACTGCCTGTAAGGCTGGTGTGGGCACTTGAGGGTACAAGTATGAAAGCAGAATGGATGAGTCCCTGTTGGGATATTACCCTGGTGATTTATTATTGTGTGAAGGGTTGGATGACATGACTTGTGATGCCTTGTTTAGCTCTGAAATTCTTTGATAGCTATGAAGCACAAGAAAGCAAATGAATACAGATGATAAGTAAATTCTTTTATTGTATATGGTATGAATTGATATGTGAACTAATATGAAAAATACAGAGACTGCATGCATCTGCAAACTAAATAGCACCTTTCAAAACACTTAAAAGTATTCATGACATAGCTTTAAAATTGGGTTACATGTACTTCAGTGTTTTAAACATTAATACTCAAGATAGTAAATTAAATGTTTGTAAACCTGTATTTTCTTTCCACATTTCTGAGATGTTTTTAGACATTTTCTAGATTTCTGATATCAGGTATATTAATAGTACATCTAATATGGTAGTCTCTCATTAACTAGTGCTTCTTGCTATTGATAGGGTCTCAGAGTTGAGAAAGCCAAGTGACCGTTTCCATATGAAGTCATTTTAATGTCCCTAATCTTTTTATGCCCAGCATTCCATTTTTGGAACAGCACATAGAAATGGAACATAATAAAATTTTTTGTTTTTTGGATTCTTGTTTCTTGAATATTTCTAGGTAACATACATGAATTTCATGTAAAAATTGAGAAAATTGCAACCTCCAGCATAAATGGGTTAAAGAGGACTTTAAAGTGAAATGTATTATATGGCTACACCAGTAATTCATACCATTTTTCAGACACTACTAAACAATAGGTTGCAATATTCTACAGAGAATGCTGATGGCGTGATACCCACTTCTAAAATATGACCTCCTGGGTTACAGACTATGTCTGCATGTAATTCTGAAGTGATTTCTTTTCTCTGTGTGTGATCAAGGGGCATATTGCAAACCACATGATTTTTGCCTTGGAGTATTATTCCTGATTCTGAACTCTACTCTTTGCCCATCTGTGAGGAAAACCTTTTTAGTAACAGAAATGTGAGGGGTAATAAATAAAAGATTGTGTAGACATTGACTGTTTTGATATTTTGTGTAAATATTTACACTTAGTAAAGCCATACACCAGGAGCTAAAATATCTAAGGAGTAGGTCTCCATTTGGGTAATTCTTTTAGCAGGAAGATTGCTGGTCATTCAGAATTTATGTTTTCTCATAAACTTATTATTTTCCTGGACTCATATTCTGGTCCAAAGAAAAAAAATAATAATAATTTTGCTTTTATAAAGCAAAAACAGCTATGAAGATGAAAGCACTTCCTGTGAGATTTTGGTCTGATTTACTCTTCTATCCCAAACATCCTCTGACAGTCAGAAAAGCCATATGGCTATGGTTAGGCTTCTACCTGCCCACCATATCACCTCTGATGTCAAGCCAGTGTGGAGGGAGAAATAGTTTTCTGATAACAATCAGCATTATTAAGTTGGACTACAATATTAATTAACTAAATTTGATGGATGACATAAGGTGGGCATCCCATTTTGGCCCCGGAGTGTTCATAACATCTCTAGATTTTAGAGTAAGATGTTTGTCATAGTAACAACAGTAGAATGAAAATTGTGTAAATTTGAGCGGTAAATCCTAAGCACTCTAAAGCAGTTCCTTGGCACACATGCCAAAGATAGCATACCCCTTCCTCTCTGTCCCTGGCCATCAAGGATGGAGAATCCAGGCAGTGCTCCAAGGCACCACTGCCCTCTAGTGGGAACAAGTACTGTTCTCATTTGTTGGAGTCAGAATCTGCTTTCAAACAATTTAAGAAATTCCTTTGTCTTTATGACCACTTTTTTTTCCCTCATGAGTTTATTGGTGCATTTTAGGTATACAGTACAGTTACATTCATTATTGAGATCTTGTACCTTTACATGACAGGTTTAAGACCACTTTTAGATTTACTAATTAATTTTACTGTGTTCATCTGTAACATTGTGACTCTTGATTAAAGACTTATCTTATGCATCACTTTGTTCCAGATCTTAGGACACACTTTCTCTTGTCTCTGTGATGGGGACAGTATCTACACATACATACTGCCATTTATTTTTAGGGATTTTTAAAAATAACACTAGCTCCAAATCTTGTGATTTATTTAGGTGAAACTGTTTAAGGAAAAGCAAAGTATGACATATTGTAGCTAACAGGACATTGTGTTTTAGATTCTCAGTATTCTACAGAGAATGGTGATAGCATGCCATCTACTTTGTATTACTGGCAAAGGCATATTGATTTCTACATAAATCTATATCAGTGTATCTCTTACTCTAAAGGAGATTAGAAAGATGGTACTGTGCTGTAATAGCTTTGAGAAATTTTGTTACTACAAATTTCCATGTATGGATACATAATTATATAATTAATTTAATTAACATTGATTATGTATGTTTTCAGAACAGCACATTGCCAAAGTCTAATTCTTTTATTGTGCCAGACTTTTAGCCAGGAACAAGTAAATTCTGTGGAAACTCCTCTGGCCATCTTGTCTGTAAGTTACCTGGATGCACTTAACCAATAGGTTTCCCTAAAACAGGAAAGGGCAGTGCTCTGCACAGAGAGCAGTTAAAATTACCACCAAAACAGGTTGTTTGTTAAAATGTAACCCAGACTAAAAACTCATCTGGGGAAATGGCAGCCCTCCATGCAAAGGATCAGCCTGTATAAAAACTTTGGTTGGACTAATAACAGGTGTTGTGTTTTTTGTTGTTATTGTTGCTGTTTGGTTTTTTGTTTTGGTTTTTGGTGGGTTTTGGGGGAGGTCCACTCTTACCATAGTTTGTGATCACATTAATAATAATCATCAGTCTATATGTTTTTCTCTTTTGTTGTCTCTGTTCTTACCAAACCTCACCTAATGAAGGAATTATTTGGCAGTATAATTGATATTAGTACCACAGGTATCCGTCTTTCTTATGTGTGGGGAATTTTATTTCCTCAAAGAAAGAAGTAGGCTCGCATATTGCCAGTGTTTGACATATTCTTAACTACCCCAAAACACTTCCTCTGACAGAGTGACAACAACGCAAATCAAAGACACTGAACCACAGGGCCGCCTTTGTAAAAGCACATCTCTAGTTTTGAAAAGCTTTGTTGTAGCCTTTTAAAAACATTCTGGAATTTATTTAAGTCAGAATGTTGTCTTGCTCAAGTTCTTTCTTCTCTCCTAATAATTTACACTATGGTAGTACCCTACACAAGGATTTGAGAGTGTAGGTTCTAATTTTTCCTAGTACTGGTCTCAAGGAAATTATTAGGTTTTCTGTACTTTATTTTTCTGATCTATATACAAAATGTCCTTCTCTGTGGAGTATAAGAAAATTACCAATTAGTAAGTACTGATTTATTTTCACTCCTTGGAGAAAGACATTACTTTGTGTTTTATTATATGGCCATCTTTCTGTATAATGTAGACCAATTCTGTAACATCTTTGCATCCCTGTATATTTCTGCTAATGCATACCATTTCATAACTTATATCTCAAATTGTATGTCAAACTACATTTATATCAGTACTAAATTCGTTTTGCAACCACCATAGAAGATTAAAATTTGTAAATTGTGTATGATTAAGCTAATTTTACATGACAGTTTCTTCTTCCTTTTCTAAAGTGTTTCTTTCAGACATGTTGGCTTTTATGCTTTTTATTAAAGCAAGTAGAAAACTTCATAATGCAGTCAACTCTTGATTATCATTCATGATTCTAACTAATAACACAGTTATTGACTTGGTACTTCTATAGCGTTCACTGTGTACCAGGCAGTATTCTAGGAGCTTCACAATGAATGGATTTAATCCTCACTACCACTCTTTGAGGTAGATACTCTTTTTATCCCCATTCTACAGATAGGAAACTGAGGTATAACGAGGTGGAATAACCTGCTCACATTCACTTCACTACTAAATAGTGGAGCTCAGTTCTGCAGCCAGCAGCCTGAGCTGAGGCTCGTCTTAACCCCTGTGCTGCGCGGCTGCCTCTGTCCCCATGGGGAGCTTGGAAACTCCTCTCCCCCCGCAGCCCTGCCATTCTGATAGCTTGGTCAAGGGGCCTTTCTTGATGCAAGTCCTGGCTGCGCTCCTTACTGCCTAAGTGACTTCAGACAAGGTATTTAGCCTATCTATTTAGCCCCTATTTCCTTATCTGCAAAAAGAATTCAATGATGTATGTGCTTCCTAGGGGTGTTGAGGGATTAAGCAATACATATAAATTCCCTAGATGTATGGTTGCACATAGCAAACACGCCATAAATGTTAGTTTTCATTTTCCTTTCAGAGTTGACAAAGACTTGAAATTAAATGGAAACATTGTTAATATCACCCCCAAAACCCTAAACAGGGAGACAAGGCCCCAGAAGGGACTTTCTGTAGATAATCCAAAGTTGACTGTGACTCTCCCGTCCTGCCAGCCTTGCTGTTTCAACCACTGGGCAATAACCCTGTGCTGTAATTCATGCAGGCTATGGCCACTCGGATGCAGATGTTCTTCACCAGTCGCTACTTGAAGCCAACATTGCTACTGAGGTTTGCCTTACGGCTCTGGACACACTGTCTCTGTTTACACTGGCATTTAAGGTTTGTATTAAATAGTGTTTGTGGTCAGTTTTAAAAGCTCAGCTAGCACAAACTTATGGCATTGCATTTTTACTTCAGCAGTTTGTTTTTGCCACTGTAAGGAGAGCATTAATCCTTAAATTCCTTAATGAACTCATTCCACACTGAATGGCTTGAATTCTCTGAAATCTAGTAAAGCTCACCTGGCCCACGTATGTGACATGCTTGGAAACGGTAGATACCTCTGGAGATGGTTAATTCTAGGCTAGCAGAAAGAATTTCCCCAAGGAAACAAGGCTTTGCTGAACCCTTAGGTTAATCAGTGTGGGAACCTAATCAGGCATTTCTGCCTTGAATATCTTTAAACATAGTGAAGTGTTACAGCAGTTAAACTTAGATATTTATTGAGAGAGGAACGATAAATAAAACTTGTAATTTAAAAAATTTTATCTGTTTGTAAATGACAAAATTATTTTAGGGATAGAAAAAGGTCTTTTTTTTTCTTGTATTTAAGGTTTTAGCAAATAATATTCAAGTTTAAGATGGCCTCTTAATCTTTACATTTCCCATTCTTGCTAAATGATTACTCATATTTTTAGCATAGAAAAGGGTGATTGAGTTCATGTTAATATACTATAAATATACTATATAAATATGAAAACAGTATGTTTGATTACAAGGGTATTTAGGAAGTATAACTAGAGTCATGTTGTGCTTTCCTTATCTCTACATGTAAAGCACATCTTTCCTAGGGAAGTAGAAGTAGTGACCACAGTGTCCTGTCGCTGTACTTTAATATGCCTCTTTTCTCTCTTCAGTAGTCACACCCCTTGTGGAGTGGGGATGTCATTGTCTTTGTACATGGGGCCTCCCCTGGAGTGGCTCTCAGAGAATGGTCTCCAACTGTCACCCCTGGGAACCTCTTAGAAATGTAGCTTCTCGGGCCTCAGCCCAGACTTACTCAATCAGAAACTCTGGGCGTGAGACACAAGCCCCACAGCTTGAGACCCATGACCTATCAGAGAGGCCTTTAAAGTCCTTTCTATTTTCTCTTGGATAGTTTTAGTTTAAAGGTCTTATGTATATAGGCAGTAAAGATTCTAAATGTAGATATTTGGCCATGTTCATGTGTTAATGTTAAACATACATCCTTTAGTCCAGAACAGCAGTGGCAACACTGTCTCTGCTCTCTGCTTGGGCCCTACTGTGTGAACAGGCAAGAAACTCTGCAGGTGAGGACTGGCAGGAACAGGCACACAGGCAAGCAGGGTACACACAGCACAAGTGCATCATGGGCAGCACCCATGAGAGTGGTGACAGTCTCCTCACTGGTCAGCCTATAGTTCTTATCCAAGCTCCTTCCTGTTGCCTGCCAAATATTCAGGACGGTATTTGCCAGGGTCCCCAGGTCTCCAAATGTCTGTCACCAGTAAGTTCTGGCCCCCAAGAAAGAAATGGCATCTGATGGTTCCTGAGGAAAACTGATCATGGCATTTATGGACTGAATGAATATCTTTGAGAAAAATACTTGATGTCTCCAGACCTGAAGTTTTTCATCTGTAAGATGGGAGAAGTAGGATCTACCTCATGGGGGCTGTGGTGAATTTTGAGTGAGCTGACTCTCAGGGCTTGAATCTTTTCAAACTGTGCAGTGCATGGCATTGCTAGATGATGGGCCAAGAGGAGCATGAGGCTTGTGTGGCTCAGACTCACAGGTTCCTGAGGCCTTTACCATCATTGTCTGCGCATATTTACACAGTTGAGGCATCCGTTAGAACACCTGCGAAAGATGACAACCTTGACTTAGCTGATAGAATTCTGGGCAGGAAAATCATCTTCCACAGGTGGAGCCCTGTCATACTGACTTCTGAATTGCCCACATCAGTAAGTTACTGGAGACAACCAGAGGTCAGTTGCTTAGGATGAAATGTTTGAAAAGATTCAAGCCCTGAATTGTGCTTATTATATTGTATTAGCTTCCTGCTGTTTACTGAAATGCCTTCTGCACTCAAGCATTAGTCTTCACAACAACCCTACCTCGTTGATCTCATTGTCCTCCACTTTACAGGTGTAGAAATTGAGGCTGAGACAGGTTAGGAAATTTTCCCAAGATACTACACAACTGGCCTATTCCCAAAGCCTTGTTCTCCACCCAAATGAGAGATGGTTGTATGTGTATGGAGGTGGGGGGTGGGGTGAATATCAAAGAATTGGAATGATTTCACAAAAGGAAAAGAAAATTACCAAGCACTTACTACCTACCCTATATTTCATATGCAGCATCTCATTTGATATCTGAAAGGGTTAATTTTGTAAACTGAGTTAGTGACATGCAGAAAAATATGGTTATTCTGAAGCTATGTTATGATGTCTATGAACACAGTCTCTAACATGGACCATCAAATATTTTATAATGTTAATTGTTCACAGATTTAATCTGAAAATGTATGTATTTTTAGCAATTTCATTTAGTGCTTTTTCTTGTTTTAAAGTGTGCTGTGAGTGCTAATACAGAATCACTTTTTTTTGGTATCAGGGATCAAACTTGGGACCTTGCGTTTGTGAGGCAGGTGGCAGAACCTCTGAGCTAAATCCCTGGCCCCATGCTTGCTAATACAAAACCATAAGGAGAGTAGGGACTAACAAAGAAAGTGGGGTGCAAGTGGATACCTAGGGTCTCGCTGGGCAGATTATGGTCCATCACATGACCGGAGCCTCATCTGCGGGTGCGGGGTCATCCGAGTGACTGGAGGGCCTCTGCAGATGAGGCAGCTCTTGTCCAAACGGAGTATCTTACAGATTACTGTAGAATCAGCATCTAAATACAAATAAATGCCATGTGCCTCAGGAAGACTTAGCTGTGTTAAATGACTGCGCTCCACACATCTCATTTTGACACCCAAGGTTTAAGGTTGACATTATATTCTTATATTAGAAATTACTAATACTGAATATTCATTCCCTGCAATACCCATTTCCTTTATCAAGGACTGCAAGAGCGTGTTTCAAAAATCAGACCTGAACCTGTCATCCATAATTCCTGAGGACTTAGGCTGCACTTTATTGCTAGGAATTAGTCATGCATTATAGTATTCTGATGTCTCATTAATTTCCTAAATGAAAGTTCCCTACACTCAATAAGAGTTAAGATACACTGCATTGGGCCCGGGGATTTAGCTCAGTGGTGCTGCTGCTTGTCTTGCAAGTGCAAGGTCCTGAGTTAACTCCCCTGTGCCAAAAAAAAAAAAGATACACTGCATTGTTACCTTTTATATTTCTGAGTGGAGAAGTTGATGGGGATTTTTGTCTTTCTTTTTTACCCACATGGGCTTTTCTGCATGTTCAAGGATTTGTTTGTATTTAGTATACCCTTGTATTACTTTCTAATCAATGAGAAAGCAATAGAGAGGGAGGCAAAAAGGAGAAGATAAAGAAGGTAGCTGGTAATGGGAGTATCTAGGCTGAAGAGTCTTTATTCCTTTAAATGAGACATTTCACATCTTAGTGTAAATGAGTCTTAATTTCATTCTTGCAGTTCTTGAGATCAGAGCCCAGGAAGACTAAATCCTGAAAATTAGAAGCAAAAGCCTTGAGAGAGAGAGGAGGGGAAGAAGAAACTAAGCTTGGAGACAAGGACCAGAGCATATCTCAGGATCTTTTCAGTGTTTCAGAGAACTATCTCTTCTGGATAATTCCAGCAAAGAGTGCTGAGAAAATGAACTCTCATTTCTAGATTCACCCAAACCACATTCCAGCCATAATTAGCAAAGTAAATGGATTGTGAAAAGCAAGGCTTCTTAACTGTGGCTCCTAGGAAAAAAATGATATTCAAGACAAAGCCTTACACATTTCCCTGAGCACTGGCATCAGCATTTGCGGACAGGCAGCGGGTGGGTGAACACCTGCTCACAGTAGAGAATTATATCATTCATTTAATCAGTCTCCATTCACAATTTCTTCACGTATTTCTTTTGGAGGGGTGGTGGGAACCGGGGATTGAACTCTGGTGCTTGCGCTTGCGAGGCAGAAGGTGGGACCAATGAGATAAATCTCCAGCCCCCACAATTTCTGCTCTTTAAATTGCTCCTCTTTCACATGATGGAATTTAATATGATGCCTCAGTATTTCATGATATAAAGATCACTATGAATTTCAAGTGTTATACCCACTATATCTAAACTTAATAGACTTAAAAGGAAAACAAAATTGTGCCTGAGTTAGATTTACTTGAGTTAGAATTTCTCTCCATCAATGAGATGAACCTTGCTTTTCTGAAACTGACTCCAGCTATAATTTGCTATGTAGAAAAATTATTTAACCTAAGTTATCTGTTTATTTAGCCAAATTGTAAGATGTCTCGACATTTTTGGTTACAATTACTTTTGCCTGCTTGTTCAAAATGCATGCATATATCCTTCCCAAACACACAGGTTTTTAGACAGGCTTTTCATATTTGAGAGTCATGTGCTTTACTGTCATGCATGTTTGGATGTGAAGTCGCATGCTGGCTTCTTTTTGGGCTGTACCTGTAGCTATTGTATAGATTCGGCAACTGAGGGGAGTTTTAGCTAACTAGGGTTCTAGAGTGGTGAATCCATACGGATTTTCTGCTGCAATGAAGATATTTTAAACAATGATTAAAGGCAATTAATTGTGGTCCTTTGATAAAGCAAAATCCACAAAAAGTTACAATCCTACCAGCTACCTCCTACTTAGCTAGACCAAAATACATGTCAGACACTTTTGTTCTTTACAGTATCTGTGCAAGGTTAGTTTTAGAGTCACTCTTCTACAGATGGGAATACTGAAGCTTTGTTTACCTACACAAATCCATGCACATAAGTGATACTTGGCCAGAACCTTACCAAAATGAATATCTATAGCTCAGAATGCCCAAGAAGCTTGTCTGGGAAGCTTGTCTGACTTTTAGAGGACTTGTTTCATATTCGTTATTTCAGTTTTTTCCCCACCTATTAATTAACACCAGGAACAGTGCTCCTCTGCTGGAATTAAAGATGTCACAAACATTCTATCAATTGCTGGTGCACAGTTAAAGTAATAGAAGCCAGATCAGTACTAAGCTGCAATGACCTTATACACTATCTTGACGTTTACTGGGAAGTTTATCCCCAAAGCATAAGTTTATTGATACATTCACAGAGTCTGCCAAAAAATGTTTACACATTTCAGGAAAAGAAAAGCGTGTGTAAATACTTTAATACTAAACTCATTGAGACTTCATGAGGTTAATACAACTTACTTTTGACCTTCATGATTACAAGAGGTGCTCAAAATGGTGGCCATGAACTTCCATACATTTATTAGTACACAAACTACTACTTGGGTAACCTTGGTCATTAATATTGCTGCATATGCATTTTCTATTCTCTAAGGGTCAGCAGGGTATTGGGTTTTCTACACTGTACAACATCTTCTAAGGGTCCCCATACAAGGGTAACATCATCTGTTGAAAAAACATTATAGTCTTTTTCTTTTCCTGAAGTACTTTTTTTTGTTGTTGTTTTTTGGTGGGTTCTGTTTCTTCTATAAGAGCATTCTGTGTTTTCCTATGGGACTCAGCAGAGTTTGTTTAAATTGTAAGTTTTTTTAATGCTTGGAAAATGTAGTCTTCGAGCCTGAAAATTGTATGAAAACTCCTAGAGGTGCCGGGTTTGTCTCACTAATCATGCTTTTGATGTGTGTTTTAAGAACCAGCTTTTGGCTGACCATGGACACAATCCTCTCATGAAAAAAGTTTTTGACGTCTACCTGTGTTTTCTTCAAAAACATCAGTCTGAAACGGCTTTAAAAAATGTGTTCACTGCCTTAAGGTCATTAATTTATAAGGTAAGTTGTTTCATTGATGATGGTCATAACTCTTGCTCATCTACATTCCTCCTCCTGCCTGGAGTTGACAGGAACATCACCGAGCACTAACTTTGTTGTGCTGTACCTGTCCCTTTACCATCTAGTTTCCCTCAACATTCTATGAAGGGAGGGCAGATATGTGTGCTGCTCTGTGCTATGAGATTCTCAAGTACTGCAACTCCAAGCTGAGTTCCATACGAACAGAAGCCTCCCAGCTGCTCTACTTCCTGATGAGGAACAACTTTGACTACACTGGGAAGAAATCCTTTGTCCGGACACATTTGCAAGTGCGTGTGATTTAGCTTTCTAGTACAAAGTTACACCAGTGGAATCTTGTTTTGGGGGAGAAAAAAACTTTTGTCACATTGACCAATTTACCTGCACTCTAAACCCCAAGTCCTTTTTTCTGGCTTAGTTTATTTCATGTTCTATACCATAAAATGCTGGCCCACTATGTGTTTCCATTGGTAAATTGACATCTATGTACTAAACCAGCATTGAACCAACTGCAATTCTAGTCTCAAAAAGTACAATTGTACTTCAGTTTACAAACTAAATTTTGTTTTATTTTGTGGGGAAGATGGTTGCGTTTGTGTTGTGCAGGGAAGATGTCCATGGTCATGTTATCACTGGGTGCAAAATTTGCAAACAGAAGCAAAATTTTACCAAATGCTTTTGTTTGCAAAGCTTATTGTTTGCAAACAAAATATTTGTGAGGGCCAGGGATTTAGCTCAGTGGCACTGCACCTGCCTTGTTAGCACAAGGTCCTGAGTTCAATCCCCAGTACCAAAAAAAAAAAAAATTGTGAGCTGAGGTATTACTGTATTAGAACCTTTGTGAGGTTGCTTTGTAGTAAACATTTTAGGTAAGAAACAGAGAGCCCAGAGTGGTTCTTTCTGTCTTATATTTGAAAGCACATCTGCTATCTCTCCAGGGATAAGACATCCTAAATTCTCTGCTCTTTGAGAACTAGACATGATAATGATGAGTCATGTATTTTTATAGACACTTTATCAATGAACACATAAGGTTACTTCTTTCTCCATTTCTGCATTTATTCCTTATATCATTATCACAAACCACATGCTAGAATTCTCAACACAGCCCTGAACAGAACAGAACCCTCTCCTGGACTTACAGAGCATACTGTCCCAGACAAACCCAAAGCCCTGTAGCATAGAGTGGCCACTGCTCCCCTACAGGAACTTGAGTGCATCAGGAGAAGCATCTGGCTGGGGATGGCTTCCTAGAAGATGTGAAGGATGGGTAGGGAATAGCAGTTGAAAAGTAGCAGGCCATGGATGCAGCATAGGAATTACCCATCTAGGGACTGGCTGTTTAGTGTGGAGTTTAGAATATGGGTCACATGTCGGGAACACACTGTTATATATCCAAATTGTGATGTATTTGGAGGAATCTCTTGGATTCCATTGGTAAGAATAGATTGTAGGAATTTGGACCTCACCTAGGGAGACCCTTGTCAAATCTAGAACAACAGAGAGAATTGTGTCAGGAGTGGCTGAAGAGGGATGGTAATATTGGAAAAAAGAGGGATTAAGCTGACAGTTCTTAGTGATTTGATTAGTGGTAGCTGGCTACGGTAAAAGGAAGAAGTAAATTGTTTCCCATGCTAGAGTGAACACTGCCCAAAACCTCCCACCTTTGTCCTGGCCTCTTACACACCCTAACCAAAGACAGAGGCAGAGCCCAGGTGATCATGTCAAAGTCAGTTGATTTGTTCATATTTCTGTGTCCCTAAGGTCATCATTTCTGTTAGCCAACTGATTGCAGATGTTGTCGGCATTGGGGGAACCAGATTCCAGCAGTCGTTGTCCATCATCAACAACTGTGCCAACAGTGACCGGCTCATCAAGGTGGGAGGTCTAGCTCCCTTTTAGCTTTCACCCCCAAGACCCTGCCTCATTAGCTCATGTGCATGTGGTCAGCAGAAAGTGGATGAAATCCACATCTTTCATTCTCCTGTTCTGTTTAGCACACCAGTTTCTCGTCCGATGTGAAAGACTTGACCAAGAGGATCCGCACAGTCCTCATGGCCACAGCCCAGATGAAGGAACATGAGAATGATCCAGAGATGCTAGTGGACCTCCAGTACAGCCTGGCCAAGTCCTACGCCAGCACCCCTGAGCTCAGGAAGACATGGCTCGACAGCATGGCCAGGATTCATGTCAAAAATGGGGATCTCTCAGAGGTAGGTAGCCCTGCCAGCCTCTTGACCTTGGTTTTTGAAAAATTATTTATACCTTATTCATTCAAAGAAGCCAGTTTTAAGGGAAACTGTCCTGTTATTTAAAAGCTCAGAGGGACTTCTTAGTTACCTGAGCATTTTGATAATTTAAAAAAGATTGTAAGGGGATTTCTCTAGCACAAAAGAGCATTATGTAAAGCCCTTAATAATCTACATACTTTTATGATTTCCTTCTAACTAAAGTACACTACATTAAAGCTCCTGAATAGTCCTAAAATTCATCTATTTATAGTAAAAACGTTTCTTGTTATTAAGGTAATGACAGGCTTCACTTTCTTCTTTTGCAAGTGCAGTAGATACTTGAGTGTTCCCCTTCTTTCCAGATGTTGATAGCATGGCTGAAAGTTGGATGTGTGGGCACCAGAAACAGACTCTGCAGCCAAGATCTGACATTTCCTGACTCTGTGACATTGAGCCAATTTTCTTAACCTCTCAGGATTTTGATGAAATCGTTAGTTAATTGGAAAATAGCAGTAGATACATATAGGTTCTGCATTACAATGAGAATGCTTTTCAGAGTTTGTTCATAAGTCATATGGGTATGATCAGTAGTATTACTAAAGCAAACATGCCTTGACTTTGAAATTTCAATAATGGTTTCAGTTAGTAAGATTACAGTCTATGTTTGACAAGTTGATAGAACTGTTTATACATAGTGATTATTCAACAACTCCATTGAGCTAAAAGGTACGTACAGCATTACAATTTTGTTGGACCATAAATTTAACCTAAACTAGCTAGATAAAAAGAAATTCGTAGTGATAGTCATGGTTCTATCATTCTCAGAAGGTAAGGATTGTTTTGTTTTTAATGATTTGTGTGACTTGAGTCTCTAGTAAAAAAGAAAACCCAGCTCCCTGAGCTTTAGTCATTTCTCTGTGTATTAGCTTCCTGTGGCTGCCATAATAAAGTACAGCAAACTGATAGCCTAAAATGACAAATTTTTATTTTTTCACAGTTCTGGAAAACAGAAGTACAAGTTCATAGTGTCTGTAAAGCCTGGCCTCTCTAAATGTTCTAGAGCAGAACCTGTTGCTTGTCCTCCTAGCTCCCTGTGTTTATTATTTTTTTCCCGGTACCGGGGATGGAACTCAGGACCTTGCGCTTGCCAGGCAGGCACAGCACACCTGAGCTATATTCCTGGCCTTGCCTCTTCTTTTATAACAGTTATATTGAATTTAGGGTCTGCTTGCTATCAGCGTGACCTCATCTAAAGTAATTATATCCATAACAATTCCATTTCCAAATAACATCACATTTTGAGATACAGGAAGGTCATAAATTTGGTCAGGAAAGGGGTCACTTGCCAACCCCATTTACTGTGTAAGCAAGACACTAATACAACTAATTCACAGGTCTTCTTGTGGTAGCCTCCCTGTCTGGTGGTGTGCACTTGCTCCGTAAGCTAACTCACATTTGCACACTTACTCTATGCATTCTTTCTTGCTATGCAGTGTTAGGTGGAATAAACCATGTCTGACTTGAGCTCTGCCTCTCAGATTGGACAGCATAATGGCTCTGACTCCCTAACAGACTTCTGTGCACACACATAAGGCACAGAGCAGAGAGCCTGCTACACTGTTCATGTATGTTTCTACACACATGCATGTCAAGCAGCTTCTACAAGTATATGTTGGCAGGACAGGTGCTTCATATGCTGGTGGCCACCTGACTGGTGAGGATAGGGACTTAAACATCAGAATCTTCCATGGCTGTGTTTCCTACAGCTCTCTTTGATTTTTATAACAGGGCCACTTTGTGAAAATAATTTATTTTTATTTTTCCTTTTATTTTTAAGGTAATGAACTAGTTTTTATTTAGAATTACATGTTTGGAGCAAAGTACAGCTTTACCTTTTTTAAGTTGAGAAAAAAACATGTATTAGCACCTGCAGTTTGAACAATTTGCTTAAATGTTGGAAGAAAAAGGTTTTTTTCCAAGCACATCTTTTCCTCAAACAGTCCTCTTTTGGCTTTAAGAAAATTGATGCAGAAAACTTGATTATACAATACTAAGAAAAAATACTGTTTTTATCTTTTACATTAAAATGTAATGATTCTAAATGCAAAAAAAATCAGAGCTTAGTGATTTTACTGCCATTTGTCCCGAGTTCTAATTTATTTCAAAATGTCAGTTTATGGGAGTAGTTCCACGTTTTTTCCAAGTGAAGACATTAGCTATTAGAAACACTAATTGGTGCCTTGAGATATAATAATATATATTTATTGAATATGCTATTATAAATTATGATTCTGACACATGTCTTTTATTATAGGCAGCAATGTGCTATGTCCATGTAACAGCTTTGGTGGCAGAATATCTCACACGGAAGGGTAAGTAATGAGCTCTGTGTGTTGTGAGGAGACTATAAAAGGATAAAGTAGCAAAGATGAGTGATAGACATTCAGACAAATTGGAGGTGGGGGATTTGTACATGTATAAAGCATATTTTGTTTTTTTCCCTTACGTGATGTTTGCTTGTCTTGGTAGGCACAGCAGAAATTTCCAGTATGAAAAATAAAAATAGGTGGCATGTTGTCATATAACCTGTTCCTGACCACTCCATTTTGTAAAAACTAGTTAACAAGCTTTATAAATGATGTCCCTGACCAGCCAATCCAAAACTGAAAAGATTTTATTTTCCCTTAAGATAGTTGTACTGGAACTATACAGTATTTATCAATCAAGAGATATTCGTCACAGGAACTTATCAGACAGATTTTCTGGAACACAGCCCAGTTGGCTGCACTGTTCCCAGTAAAAGAAAGGGGGACAAATGATGCTTCTTTTCTACATTATACGTTTGTGTCCAAAGTAACAGGCCATGAATTCATTCATTGGTTCCTTCTAGGTAAATACCAGTTGCTCATTTCCATTTCAAAATGAGCATAGCTCCAAAGGATGGCATATAATTTTGGAATACCTGGGTTCTCAGCAAAGCTGGTAGTCTGCATATGTAGTTCTGGAGGACAGCAGCCCCAGATATGGGCTGATGAGTATAGTATTTTCATAGTGGGAGTATTCGAAGTCACAAATGCTGAGACCATGAAATGATTATCTCTGGTACAGTTGGCTATTTAGAGTAGAATTTAAGGGAGTCTGGGTTTGTTACACAACAGAGGATAAAGGAGAATGAAGTTAAAGAAGGGTTCCATGCTCACCTAGTATTTCTGCCAAGGCATTTTATCAGGTAATACATTTCCTCATGTTTAGAGGCGGAACTAGCACTCCAGCGGGAGCCACTCCGCTTCCCCTACAGCCATAGCACCTGCCAGAGGAGGAGCCGGGGAGGTGAGCCCAAGGATTGCCCATTCTCCAAGGGTCCCTTACCACTCTCTTCACATGCCATTCAATGGTGTGGGGATTTTCTATTTCAAATCTGCATGGAGAGATTTTGGTCTTCTTCCCACCTTTCTTTTCCTGGGTTCTCTAGGTTGCTGGCAATCTGTTCCTATGGAAAATAGAGGAAAGCACTTTGGCCACCATTTTTGTTGTTCTGTTTTAGTGGAATTATATATTTAAATGTACTTGTGGCCCAAACATGGTGGTTTGCTTTCATAACTTTATTTTGTGTAGATTAATGTTTTTCACTGGGGACTCTTTGATTTCCATATAACCAAATCAAACCAATACTATACAAGAACCATGGTGGAGGGACTAGATAACCCGGGAGTGTCTGGAAACCTGGTCTAATGTGCAACAGAAGCATCTCAGACTTCAGGTTCTACTTTTTTCAAGGCTTGATCTCAAAATACTCTGTGTTCTTTTTTTAAAATATGGTAAGTGTCAATTCAAGTTTTTACTTGTTTTATTATGAACAGGCATCTCACAGTAGAGCAGAACATTTCATTTTCCCTTGAGCATTTTGCACAACTGGAATTGTCCAGTTGACTTAAAACTGTTTCCTAGTGAGTCCAAGATGAGAAAAGGCTCTCAGTGGACTGCTGTTGCTCAGAGATCAGGATATATCCTGATCTCAGACATTGATTCTCACCTCCAGTTTTACACCTTTTCCCCTAAAGGATCAGATGCCTAGGCCCTGGAAGTATTCATGCTCTCTTTTTCCTAGAGAGAAGGGCCTCTTACCCCCAGGTTGCTGGTGTGCCATCTAGCTAACGCAGCCTCTCAGCTGCCTCACAGCTGCCTCACAGCTGCAGCAGTTGCAGTACACCTCAGTGTTACAGAGGCTGCAGGCAGGAGAAGGGAAAGCTCTAAGTCAGTGGTGGCAAACCTATGGCTGTTTGTATCATTAAAAGCTCTAAAAAGCTCACTTTCACTGCTCTAAGGTTTTTTTTGGCTTATCCCTAGCCTGAGTGATGAGATGACCATCTGCTTGAAGGAAACAGAGTTGTTTTTGTGTTACATATGTCTCTCTCGTTGGCCCTGGCTGCTTTAATGGCCTTAGTATCATTATACCAAATCATTTTTTCATTTACTTGTTATTTTACCATTAATTTGACTTAATAACTATTTCTCAGTTTATTTAGTTCATTTAAAGACTGAACACACTTTATTAAAGTGAGGGGAAAATGTAAAAGGTTGAGAAACAAAGTGAAGGAGGTGAATGCTTAGTGTGAGCTGACAAATGAAGAAAAGCACTTGGTGCTTCCCAGCCTCCTGTGTGGTCACTGGCCTGACACATAATATAAGTATCGAACTCAGTTATGTCATTCAGCACAGAAACACACATCAGGAAGAACCCTTGAGGTTCAGCCACATTTGGGTTAGCGGCTCTGACTCTTTCTCCTGCTCTCTCAATTCCCAGGCATGTTTAGACAGGGATGCACAGCCTTCAGGGTCATTACCCCCAACATCGATGAGGAGGCCTCCATGATGGAAGATGTGGGAATGCAGGATGTCCACTTCAACGAGGTGGGTACTGGATCCAAAATGGTCAACGGTGGACCAACCACATGCATAGTGTTGGTCCCCTAAGATTGAGTCACCTAGGGACATCATGGCCATCTTATTTTGTGTGAGTACATCCTGTGATGGTCTCACAGTGACAAAGAGCCTAACAACACATTTCTCAGAATGCACCCGTGTTGTTCAGTTGTGTGGGACTATACTCAGGTAGCGTGGATCCTGCAGATCCCCTCCCCGTGTATCACCCTGGGCTTTTCTTCCTGCAGCTGGTGCCTCCACACTGAGCCCCAGCTAATGTAGTTCTTCAGAAAATGAAGCAGCAGCCAAAACTCCACTGTTCTCCCTTTCTAGCAGTGCCTTCTCCTCCAGGGAGGGAGATTAAGAGGCCATTTTGTACCAAAGTGAGGCTGAGTGTCCAGTGTATTCAATGGAGTTTGTCAGCGTGTCTGACAATTTTTCTCACGTATGAGTTTCATTGCTGCTTTAGTCTGACTTTAGTTTTATTTGGTGGCTCCAACTCTAGACATTCCCTAGGGCCAAACCTCAAAGTCCCAAGAGAACAAACTGGGCTCACAGCCAGAGCCAGCCCTGTTTGGGGAGGGCAGTTTCTGCCTCTGCATGGGTGCTGTGATAGAGAACCACACTATCCCACTGCCCTGGAGACCAGAAAGTGACATTAGACAACTATAGTGATTCCTGAAGTTTCTTGTCAAAACAGGATAGCAGCACAGCTACTTATCTGTAGAATGTTTTGACATACAGCTAGGAATTTGAGCAGTGCAAGTTTTCTGCTTATATTCAGTTTATTCTCTTTTCCAAGAATATTTGTTTGAATAATACATTCATTTGTACCTGCCTTCCCCAGCCCAAAACAAAACAGTGAAGAAAAGTTTTTTTAATACTGCCCATCTTTTAAGGAAAAATAAAGTTGTCCAGTTCTTCATGTGGAGAGAAAGAACCAACAGAGAAAAGAGTACCTGTCTGTCCTCTACCTACATTTTACTGGCTTGCTCTCTCTAGGACCATGGTATGGTTGCACACAGTTACTATTTCAGCTTTTATCCATTTTTGTGCCAGTAAGGAGGGCCTGTGACCAACCATCTCCCATGATGTGAACCGGTCCATAAACAACTTGGTTTTCAAAATGTGGTCCTGAACCTTTTCATGAAGACTTTGAGGTCCTTACTTTTCCAACCAAAGGTTTATGTGAGTCTGGATATTTTTGTTTGTTTATAAGTATCAACCTTAGCACCAGTCAGACAGATTTAATACAAGTATAAGAATCCAGGTTTCTCCTACAAAGTCAGACATTAGAGTTGCAAAAATGTTAAATGAGGCAAATCCTCTCTCCCACTCTCCTTCTCTTCCTCCCTCCACCCCCTTTCCTTCCTCCTTTCCTCCTCTGTATTTTTTTAAGTTTCTTTGAAAAATACCATTTTCTTTTTTATTAATATTTTCTTTATTTAACAGTGTTATTTTTAAAGATATAACAGTTTATTTTTTAATTAAATTAACAGATCTTTTTACATTTTTCGATTTTCATTTCTAATAAATATTGAGCAAAAATACATAAAATGTTCTTTGGAGTCCTCAGTAAGTTGTAAGATATGTAAAAACTAAAGAACATTGTCATAAACTGTCTAGTCTCAAATGGCCTTCAAAGTTAAAAACTAAATATGAACAAAGAAGGTAATATATTGAGTGTACTTCATAAAGTTTAAATATTAAGATAGGTTTAACCACAATAGATAACGTTTTCTAATTACCTTCGGGAAGGAAGCTGGTTATTTGATGGCATTAACAGCCCTACTGTTTCCCATCTTGAAGTGGACGGACAGATTGTAATTTTTTACTTCTTACTCTCAAGTGTGAAACCTGTCTCTGAAGGATCAAAGCTCACATGCTCTTGGTTTTCAACTCCCCTCAAGGCAAATTTTCACTGGGTTTTTCCTCTGAGAAGATGTGGGACGGTACTGTCTCCTTGCAGGAGCCACCCTTGCACCGTGTCAAGTCAGACCTCTGGAGTGCAGCACTTTATTTGGAATTAGATAAAGAAATCTACTGTGCCAAGAACAGCAGATTTGAAAGTAAACAGTTCCTGTAACCTACCCTGCAGGGGTGGTCAGATGAAGGTCAAGTTTGCTCCCCTGATAACCAATGGGCTGAAGTAGTCACAAGAACCTAATGAATTACCTGATAAAATTAAGAGCAGACACTGTTGGGGAAATTTATGAATGGTACCCCATTCTGAGTAAGAAGTAAGCATACAACAAGCACTACTTTAAAAGCTATTTTTAGAATATGGATTTTCCACTCTGTCCTTGAAACACAGTTGGTAAATCTTTAACAAGGCCCATAATACATAATGATCTGTGGTTAGGATGTGGCGTGGTAGGGTTATAAAGTCCTGCTCAAGCTCCACACACTAAGATTGAAACTTACAGGGAGGGGAAAAAGGAAGAGTCTCTAAAAGACAGGAAAACAGAAATTGCTCTGTACATTTTCATGTTGGCTATCCAAATGTCTCAAAAAAAAAAAAAAAGAGAGAGATGAAAATTTCTGTCAGAAACAAAGGAGTTTGGGGAAGAGCTGGCGGGAAGTACATGTGTAACAGTGTAATAAAAACGTTTGTTTAATTTGCATTAGTAGATAGAATTTAAATGTCTTAGATGCTGTCCTAAAGCCAATTTTATTAGAGGAACTGTGTAAAAGTATACAATTGTCTTAGCAGCAGGATTCAGATGAGTTTTTATTGATATCAATTCCACCTTCCCTTACTCTTCTCCAAAGAGCAGACACTCTCCCAGCTGCTCTGGGAGAGTTTATGTGCAATTCCACATAAACTTTCGTTTCGCAGTCTGGGCCATGCACATTGAAGAAGGCTTGAGTCCCTACAGTGTCAGAGTTCCACTTGGGCCATGTAGTGTTGGGGTCCCTCCCTCATTAACTGTTGCAGCATCAGAGTCCTGGCAGGGTATAAGTGGCACATTTGGGAAAGTGAAGAAAGTCTCATAAAAAGGACTGTTTTTAAAAGTTCAGAGAGATTTTGGGGAAATGAACAAAGTATGTTGTAGTATTCCCTAGTTAGCAACAGCTGGGTCTCACTTCTAACTTAAAGGGTAGTGGGAGACAAGAGAAATTCATGGAGGGACTACCTGACAGGACCTATGGGCTTCAGTAGAGAATTCACCCTGGCAGGGAGGGAGGGCGTGAGTACCCACCAACCTTCCTGCCCACCCTCACTGTTCCTCCTGCCCTGCAGTCTTCTGCTGGGACCCGCCATTGGCCAACTCCACTGGGAGTGAAGGTAGGAAGCCCACCATGCAGGCAGCCGTCCTGATGAGTCATTTCCTAGAGCATAGAGCTGGGAGATCAGGGCCTGAGGAAATCCAGAGGGAAAAATGGAAGATACAGGTGATCCTCGTCATTCACAAACTTGCTAACATTTCTTGGCCCTCTGCCTTCTTTCAACCCTCATATTGTGAACGAGTATCTATTTGTTGTGTATTTAGTGCCATATTTTTCATTAAATTTTTATGGGTTTGTTGGTGATTTTTGTTGTTTAATAGCTTCAAGGATAGTGCCAGTCTAGGGTTCCTAAGTGTAAGAATATTTGCCATGGATTTAATGCTAATGAGAGAGAGAGAGAGAGAGAGTGTGTGTGTGTGTGTGTGTGTGTGCGCGCACGCGCATGCACGCACATACATAGGTAGATGTGTCTCTAAACAGAAACACATAAAACAAGTTTATGTATTGATTGAGTGACAAAAATATTATAAACACAGGCTCATGGGAAGCTAACCCTGCATTTTCCCTAGGAAGTAGGCAGCATTCACTAATCCAGGGTTTGCCATGACCTGGAACCACCTCAGTTAAGGAGAAGTAACTGTGTCTTGCCACCAGCTGTTTCATAAAACAGCAAGCCTCACCCCTGCAGAATCGTCCTTGAGTATGATAAACCTTACCTGAACTTACCCAGGCAAGTCTCTGATTTCTGTTAGTAACATTGTTTCTATGTAGAAACAACTGCCAATAATAAACGCAGTGTTTACATATCTGGAACATGCCTAGAGACTGAGAAATCAGCAGGCTATATCCAGTGGTTAGTGTTCACATCCCATCCAAGCCTGGAGATTGTAGTTCTGTGGAACTGCGTAGCCATGGAGTACTTAGGGACCCTGACTGAGGACCAGGAAAGTTAAAACAGTGTTTCCTCGTGATGGTCCAAAGTACTAATAGTTGTGAGTACGGAACTTGGCCAATGGAATCTGTGTAACTGCTGTAGCCTTGCTTGATACCAGAACAAATAACCTTCATTTTGAAAAATGTACTGGGCCTCCTTGGTACTGAGCTGGCTGCTAAAGAAAACAGCAAGAGCAAGATAGAGGTCACTGCCATAGCTTCTAATGCTTTCTTCCTGTGGAGGAGAAACAGAGGAGAGAAACGTAAACCATAGACCCTAAGAATCTGAATTGGAAGCTGTGTAAGTTCTTTGTGACCTGGAAGTTTCTACACCGACCTATGTTGATTTAGTCACAAACTAGCTGTGTGCCATGTGCTGGCTCACAGATATGTAAGTGAAGAGCTGCCACCTAATGCAGTAGCCTCCAGCTTTATGTCCTTAAGAATTACTTGGATACTTGTTATAAACATAGGTTCTCATTCTTGCCTTCTCCCCATGTTCAGTTGTGTAGATGTAGGCCTAGGATTTATATTTTTAAAAGCATCCCAGGCAGTTATTCTGATGCAAACAGTCATCAACTGTACCTTGAAAAATGATACCTAGTCCAAGACATACTGATTACATGCTGTGAGGTGATGCTCTGATACTGCCATTGCCCAAGCCAGTGCCTAGGTTTCCTGTTATTCCTAAATGATAGAGAACAGAGATACCATCTAGCTTTCTAGGCAAGGTTAATTAAATTGAATTAATCCTAAAATGGAACAAGTAGCATCCAGATAAAAAAATCTCCAAGTACCCTGCACAAGCACAGCCTCACAACACA